ATCTTTAAACAAAATCGAGGGGACGTCTGCTCTAGCGTCCTTAACTGTCGCTTACTGGTTGTTGATATGGACCATGTTCCTGATATTTCCGGATGGTCCGAAGTCTGTTGCTCATGAATATTCCAAGAAATTTCAATTAGGCTACTGGAGACCTGTTTTGCAACGGTCATTCCCAGAAGTGGACATCCTGCTTTGGACCGCCGATCTTCAGCTGCCGTGCTGCTTCTTCCAGCGAGGAGACCGTCTGCTTGAGCTTGCCTCATCTGTTCAACACAGCTGGGTTGCAACTCAGTTCAACAACAGATGGTCTCGATCAATGTGTGGCCTGTGACTGTTAGCAGCAGTCAAGGCGAGTATCATCGCTGCAGCACTGTCCAGGACCCATAGTGCAGAGATCAAGCATGCCAGCACTTTTCGACGCACGCCGCGTCTGAGGGATCATGCAAAGTCACCCCCTTAATGCGTCAAAGGCATGCGTCTTGGCCAGGTCATGATAAAATTCGAATGCATCTAGGCACTCAGATGTTCCAAAGTTCAGAAAGGCTTCTAGACCTATAGCAGCTCTCTTCACAAACCTTCGAAAGTGGCCCGGACCTTTATCCGGCCGTACAAGCAGACGCATTTCAGAGACCAAAGGCAGATGGCTGTCTAAGGCGCCATGATCAAAAAGATAGTCTTCAATGTCGGCGATGAGCCGGTCCTGTTCCTTGCGAGGCTCCTCAATCTCACCTTGCACAACCCCGACCGTGTCCAGAAACATGGCTTCCCTGACTCTCATCAGCTTGCAGCTGCGCTCATAGAGCCCTTCAATGAAAGCCGCCGCCTTCTCGGCCTTCTTGGCCACCCCCAAGTGCATGACTTTGCCCAACTCCAGCATGGAGCCCATAGCTTTAAATGCAAAAGCCGGCTCGGGGCATACCAAGTGGAAGACGACCCGCCCCATGGACGGGATCTTCGGCAGGCTGATCGCCAGGCGCTTCGTGGCCTCCTGTCGCAGGCGGTTCAGGACCTCATGCGCTTTTGCCCTTGCAACAGGTGTCGCGTGTGATACCTGGACCAGCGCAGCCAAGTCAAAATAGTAGGTTACCTGGTGGGCTTTGAAATTCATGGCCTCGTCTGGGCCTGGCTCTGGGGCAGCATCTGCCATAAAACAGAGCACGCTGCTTGTGAAGACCGGGCTCATGCAAGCCATCTTGAAAATTTTTATGCAGACTCTAAGCCGCGCTCCTACTCCTACTCCCGGCGGATGAGAGGATGAGTAAGGCATTCTTTCAACACATGTTCCACCCTCCTGCTGCCTTTCGCGTGGGGGTCTCGTATGACGTACATTCGTTGCTGTATTTCATCTTACTTCAGCCGTATTTTGAAGTCGATTCTACGCTGCCTTTGCTGTTAGCAGTGTATCCTCGACCTAGAATTTAAGGTGATCCCATGTGATCCCAGTAAATCAGCAACTCGAGGAACTCACGCGAACTTCCCGAGGTTTGAACCCAGGCCCATGCTTGTGATGGGAATGCTGCGGAGACATCCCATGTTGGCAAGTTCTTGTGCGCAGTTGCGGCTTAGATTTGTACATAGTTGAGCATGCTTGTACGGGGCTGATGCTGTTTCAGTGCTTTTTCGGTGCGTCACGCTTCTGGGGAAGCAAAGGCAGGCAAGCGGCCAAGCATCGCCCCGGTAGGGTAGCTTTCCTTAGCCAGGACACGGGCTCCATCAACCAGGCTGGCACTTCCGAGTTGGGGGATGTCGCTTCAAGTCGTGGCGCCACAGCCCAGCAGCAGAGCCACAAACCCCAAAAAAGCATCCAAAAGCCTTTGACCTGTAGCCTTTCCTGGCTCTCAAGCTACATTTTAAGAGCACGGCTTGCCAGACACGTGTGCCATAGCATCGCTACCGTACAGCCAGAATAGTCCAGCGTCGTAGAGGTGATTGCTGATGCCGGGCACTTGGATGACCAGGGCTTGCGGCTCTGCGGCCTGCAGGGACTTTTTCCAGTGTTGGCCCAAAACCAGAACACCCGATAGACTAGGATACCATGGTCGGTACTGCATAGATTTGCTTAGGACTGGGGCTCCAGATACCAGCTGCAAGCAGGCCCCGACTTTCCGGCCTCTTCGGGAGGCATCTCCTCCGGGTACATCTCCTCAGGAGGAACCTCCTCGGGAGGATACTCCTCGTAGAACTCCTCGGGCGGCATCTCCTCGAACTCCCCAGGTTTACTGCCAACTAGGAACCTTCCCAATTTCGTGCCGAACACGATGCCCTGAGGGGTTAGCTAAGGGTAGTACAGAACTACCAAGTTACAACTACATCGTCCCTCATCATGCTTTCGCATGATCTTTCGGGATCCACATACCTCTAACTCATCGGCTGTGCTGGATGAGACCACGGTAAGAGGGACAAGATGGTGCAACCCTACACAGTGCGGGTTGATCCCAGAATCTCTGAATCCTAGCTGAAATTACTCCGAGCCTCCGTTTGATCGCCCTCTTCCAAAGGAACTTGGGCCTGACAGCGTTGCAGGGTGGTGGGTCATGGGTAAACCGCATTGAACAACTGCCTCGTAACTGCCGCATCGGTCTTTTGCATCCCACGCATTGTGCTTGCGTCTGTTTTTGTGAAATGCCTTGGTAGGGTAGCTGTTGGCATTGCATCGTGCTTTGGGAACTTCGTCTAGCAATTCTGTAGCAAAACCCATTCCTACACAAACTGATGGCGCATGTCCACCTCCTCGGTGGTCTCCGCATCGCCCGGCGTGGAGCTCGCGACAGCCTGGAGCAGCCAACCGCTAGATATCCGGGACACACGCGCAGCTGCGTTGCAGAAATGTACGACCTGTCATATGTAAATGTAACTTACAGACATCTATGGCCTCCGCGGACTCCGCTTCGGGCGCCTGCATCTGAAGCGATTCGAAACGGAATGGTTTAACCTAGACGAATATGCAGAAAAAGAAGCAGATCGCAGATGCATCGAAACTCATGAGCGCTGTGGCCAAAGAAACTTATCTCAATATTGTTTCTCTTCTCCATTCATCTGGTTTGACCGTCCTCGTTTCCCATGGCATCGGTCTGCAGGGGAAGCTCCTGACGATCGATCAATGCTGGGCATAGATGGGAACATGTACGTAAGAACCCTATCACAGTCACAGGGTCCATTTTTTTCTCCACCCTTGGTGCCCTAAACCTCTGGACTTCCTCCAGCGCCCGACATCTACCGTACAACTATAGCTGTAGAATTCCGTGATTTGTGAATGCGAATCCAGGCAAGACATGGCAAGACAACCCGTCTGACCATGATTTCAAACTAGGGACGGGTGGAGGTTAAAGCCGGCTTGCGAAAGAAGCCACCACGATTTCCAGGAGCATTTTGCAGAGGAGACAATCTTGCCGACGCTCCTCCCCGGTGTCGGCCGCCGGTGCTGCACCAGGGCCTGCTGCGAGAGTGAGCAAGAAGTTCGGGAGAGCTGGAAGGGCTTTGAGGGATTGGGGGATTGGGACCTAAGCGACCTAGCAGGCTGGCAAGTGCAGAAAGCATTGAACGCAGTGGCGCGGGCCTTGTGGATACGGGCCATATGGACCTATCAAACTCCAGACAGCGACACAGAACTGAGTATCATCGAGACACACGCACACACACATCGTACACCTACATGAGCTCTTGACCGCACCTGGGGGATGAGACGGTGGAGGAGCACCATAGTCGTAGTGACCTTCTACCAGGAAATGATGGGAAATGCCCAGGGTCCAGAGACAACAGCAGCGGAATCAAGCCATGTTGAAGAAGTCCTCGACACCAACATATTTTGAGCTTTCCAGCCACTTGCCACGTCCCGATTACCGCTTTTCAAGATTTGCAGACTTTAGAACTCTCCAGAGCTCTCTGTTCGAGTATCGTCGAGTACTTGAGCCTAGATCGTTGGTGACACTGCTACTGCTGGTCCTGTAATAAAGCCTCGAAGACCTTCGAAAGCAGTCTTGCACCGGATGCGTGCAGGAAAACAAGCATGACATTCGCAAATCCATGGCCTTGGTGATGCCCACCTTGATGTCCATAGTAGTCGCCCTGGGATGCGTAGCCTGCTCCGTTCGCTGCAACAGTGCCGCAGAAGATTGGGGGCTGGCTTGTCATTAGGCGCTTTCTGCAACGGAATATGACTGAAAACGCCCTTGAGAATTCTTTCCACTTGGTCAATGTGACCATGCGCGACACTCCTGACAAGGCCTTGGTGGCGCTGCCCTGAAGAATAGTGGCCGGGGCCTGCTGTGGAACAGAGATGATGGAGGAGGAGGACTATCGTATACTACTGTACCGACAGGAAGTCCTGATTCTCAACTTGTCGAATACACAGCACCATTGTTAACCGGAGTTTCAATGGTGTGCAATTGCTGGGGGGTGTTCGGGCAGGATGAAGCAAAATGGACATGCCTGGAGCTGGGGCCGCATAGCTCCTGCCTGGCCAACTGATCCGTAGCATGGCAGCATTATGTCCCATCTGCAACTGAGTGGGCACATGACTGTAACACAGTGTTCCCATGATGTCATCCAGATGACTTCTGGCCCATGTCACCACCATAGTCAGCCTTGTGGCTGCGGCGGAGCGTGGTACTGGCCTCAAGAATGGATACAATTTTGAAAAGTGGATATGGCGACAAAGCAGCTGAGAACAAGTGGAAAGAGACGACCATAGGCCGGCTCCGATGCATGTCAATTCCTCAACGCCGCAACGCACAGGTTTTGTTACCGTCGCGAATGTGAGATCGGATGTGCTGCACACTGTCCTAAGCACTTCTTGAACCCATTTCCAACTGTAACTGGCTAACTTCAAGCAATGACCCATGTCTCTAAGCTGATCAAACGCAGCCCGAAAGCCACCTGCGCTGGCAAACTCTTGCAGGCTCGTCCTGGTGCGAAGGGGTGATGCTCTTCTTGAAGGCAACACGAAAGCTTCAAAAATTCACATCTGCAACAACATGGGCACAGGAATGGTACCGTACAGTACTCACCATGCTCACCCCAAACCACGAGGAGGCCTGCCTCAGCCGTACACGAGGCGCAGCGCCATGTGCTGCAATCAACAAGTCCCCAGGTCGGCTCCACTTCGGCCTCGAAACTCATGCGCTATGAGGAGACTTGAGGCTTCCATTGTAGGCTTCCATTCGGCTTACAGGGTTTCAATCTGGGGCCTAGGTTTTCAGAAAAATATCTGCGCTGCACTGCACTTTACCGCGCCGAGCGCCCAGTTTGGGCGGAGAGGGGTCTCAAATTCTCAAGCCCTTTTTGCTGAAAGTCAGGGCGCCTGAAGCACAGGGCGCCATGAAGTGCTTCTGCCTCGTCGGCGAAGTTCCAAGCACGCACCATGGCCACCCAAAGCCCCGAGAAACTTTGCGGGGGTTTGGTGAGCGGGTGAGGGGCTCAGAGAAGCAGTCTTGTAAATCAATGCAGTGCGAGTGGCCTCTTCAGGGCCCTGCGCAACTGGAGGTACGTTCCGGTGTACAAAGGGCGATGAGGCTGACGGGAGAGCCCTTCGCCTTACATAGACATAGAGGGCAGGGTGCAGTTGAGTTGTGTTGTGCTCTACCGTCTTCCTGTCGTGGTCATGCATGAGCTGGTGGCTGCAGAAAGGTCCATCAAACGAGCTCGTTCCGTTCATGCGCCTTCAAGCGCTGCAGCCCATGGCCATGAGGAATATGCTGCCACGTGGTGCAACCCCGCCGTTTTTGTCCGTTGCAGGAGGCGAGATATGCCGATAAAAGCTGCAGCATGCTACAGCAGCATCTGTACAGCTCAACTGCAGTTGACTTTTCGTGCTGACCATCAAAAGAGTTGAGATCAACTGTTACGTTGTGGTCCTTCATTAGCCTTCATTGTAAAGTGACCCGGCCTGATTGCCACAAACTTCTGGTGGTGACACAGAGCTACCTGTCACCGCCTCTCACGTCTCTCTAGGTTGTGCCCTGGCGTGTTGGATGAAACTGACACGATTCGGTAGCGGTGGTGGCTTGGAGTTGTTGTTTTCTTTGGAATCGTCAAGCATGTTCGAAAGGCTCAGGCTTTGAAATCTTCGCAAATTGTTTTGAACATTTTCGGGGTCGACTCCACACTGTTTGCCGCCGAGCTGCCTCGGGAAAATCAAGCCTTACCAGCGTTCAAAGATGTGTACCAGGTACAGTCAGGATGTCAATCTGGCTGCCACATGCTGCCACGTCATGTCAACTGGGCCGGCTGCTGCTGATCCAGATCTTGCAGAACCTCGATGAGTTTCTGCACCTGTTCACATCGAAGGCGCGTCTGCACTTGGGCCCACAGTGATGATTCTACTGCAAAGAAGTTCCCCCCCCCTCTATTCCAGATATCTGTTGTTTGGGGATGGGGAGTTGACTTTGTTAGGGGAAAGTGTGGCCTGGTTTTAACATGTTGACAATTTTGTGATGTCTGGTGGTAAACCTTTTGAACTGGTAAACCTCCTCTCGCATTCGGTGCGGATGATGCTCTCCAGCTGTGAACAATGAACTATGTTGAGTTTAAAGCTTCTTTTCCTGAAGATGTATACGTTTAAAGAACAGCACAAATAGGAAGGATCCCTAACATGGAGCCAGACTCGGATCCATCAGTATCTGTACGGGAAGAGCATGGGCAGGCCATTTCCTGAAGTACTGTTCTCCGCCGCGCCGCACGTGCCCCCCCCTACCCCCCCCCGCCCGTCTTGATTCCCTGGCAGTAACAACTCACGGATGCACCCCAAGCTGACCACCCCCGCAGTGTTCACAGCTGCTGACATAAGGCGGCGCCTCAGTAGTCTCGTAGTCTACATGTGTGTTCCACAGGTCTACACAGGAAGGCCTTCATGTCTACACTTTGAGTTTTGTTGCAGCGCCTCGGAACGCACAGCACGGCGGCCCTCCGACTCTTCCCGGAGCCCCGAGGCCACCCGCTCCTGAAAACACGGCCGCCAGTGAGGAAAGTTGCTAACATTTGAGAACATTTCCTCAAACCGAGGTGCTCAGAACCTGTCCTGCAGCAGTGTCAGCCTCTGGCCATCGTGTTCGTAGGCTCGCCAGTCCTTCATGACTCATGCTTCTACAAACCTACATGACTTGACACGTGGTCCGAGCTGGGATGCATCGTCCTGCACAAACTCGCGCACGCGAGTCTCCAGCTCCAAGAAACGCTTCTGTAGCTCCCGCCGCACCTGAGCCGTTCAGGGTTTAGCGGCCTGCGTGAGATGTGCTGCAAGTCGCTGGCACTCCCCGGGCCCTCCCCAAGCTGGAGCCTTGAGGGTCTCATCCTCTTCGCTGGCCGCCGCTTTCCGCGCGTTCTCTAGCTGGACCGCAACCTTTCCATGCTCCAACTTCTCAAGATGTGTGGAGGCGGGCCGCTGGGCCTGAAGTCCAGCCGTTGCTGGGGAGTTCCTAATTTTTCCTAATTTATCGTCAATGGTATCGGAATGCCATGGAGTGAAGTGGAGTGAAGGTCTGGAGCATCTCCGCTCCGCAGAAGTGATCTTCCAGCAGTGACTTAACAGGATCGCCCCCTTTGTTGCACTGTTTCTTACTTGAAATTTGAGGTGTTGCTGATCGTGTCTGCACTTGCATGGCACTTTTTGTAGGAACAAGAGGTCTTGGTTTCGGTGCGTGCAGACCGTGGCCATGCAAAAGCTGCCCACACGTACCGAGGAAACTGTTGGGCACGCTGGGCGCTTACCGCTTCGGCCAGCGCCAGTTGTACAAAGGGTCTGGCCACGCAGTCTCGAGGAACTTCCATCCTCTCATGGGTCCGATTAGATTGATTAGATGTAGTTGGGTTTGGCATGGTGGTCCTCTGAATCCTTAAACCTCTCAAAGCTTTTGCTGCCCATCTGTGGGTCCACTTCCTCGTGAAGACATGTTCAGCGCCAGCCCGGGGAACAGTCAACTTGAAAAAGAGCCAGGTGGCCCCTGAAGTCGGTCCGAAGGGATTCTCCCCTGGAGATGAAAAGCCTAGGGGCCTAAGCGTGCTGATGGCCCCAGCTATATTTTGTCACCGCTTTGGGGAGCTGTCTTTCTGGCTCTGATACACCCGGTGTCACCCACAACTGGGATACATGTCAAGGAATTGCAATACCCAAAACCTCCACCCCAACAGGTACCAGCTTGTTTTGACTTCAAGTGATCCAGGTGCTCGCTGGAGCATCTTCTCTTGAGAGATGTGCTAACATCCCGAAAGGGTAGCCTCCAACTGCCACAAGCTTGCAGTACAGAGTGGCTCTTGTACACAAGCATCAAAGCACAGGGGAGATTGAGTCTCACATTAAAATCAACAATGGATAGCAATATGTCGCACATGCCGTACTTCTGCAATCTGATGAAGGTGCGACTATATATCCGTCCACATCTCGCCCGTGTGGGCAGTCGCTAGGAGGGTGCTCCTACTTTGCGCAAGCTTCCAGAGCGAGCACAGAAGCATTGGAGCGTTGCCAGGACATGGATTGAAACGGAATGCCCGAAGCGCAGCAAGTCTCCTTAAAACATGCACCGGACCTAGCTACCCTAGGTGCTCGCGCACAGTCGCCTTTTCGGATTCTTCTAGATTCGTCTAACTGCAAGCTCATGCATGCCGGCCGACCGAACTCGAGCACACCTTGAAGCTCTACGGCCGTTTCAGAAGGCTGCTGCAAGTCCTGCTCTCACGGTGCACCATGTGGCTATCGATTCCAGCCCGCAAACAAGGGCCCCCGAGAGATGTTTAGCATCGTTTCTCCTGCATCTCCTAGCCGTCGGGCTGTCGGACTTGCATCTTGGCTGTACTCCCTGGCCCCCCGGGTCCTGAAAGGGCGTTCGCCCAAGTAGTCCAGGATTTGTTCCCAAAGCCCCGGCACCAACGTGACCCTCGCCGATTGTGCTTGTTAACGTGACGTCATGGCATGTGCACGAACTTCAAGAAGCTGGCTTCCAACAGGACTGCAACTAACCACTGCAATCGCCCGCTTGCAATAGGGATTTACCTGAATCAGGGCGAGACACCTGTTGCACATTTGGCAGAGTGCAGACACCAAGCGCCTTACAATCAAGAGGCGCACAGTGCTGGCACGAAGTGAGGGCTCAAAGGGCAGTGCTGGGATCCCAACCCACGACGGTGATGGACAAACAGCTGAAGAGGAAGCTGGTACCTGATGTGCTTGGACCAGGAAGGAAACCTCAAAGCCCACTCTGAATTGTCGCCCCGCTCCCTACAGACTCAACAAGCCGCGCATGAACAATTCATTATCAATGACATTCAATGATGATGGTAGGTGGAGGTGCTGGTGCTGGTGGCGGTGGTGGTGCCGGCATGCGCCGGTGCTGATGTTGGTGGTACTGATGTTTATGAAGATGGTGGAAGATGGGTGTTGGTGGTCAGCGGTGGTGGTATTGGTGGTCATGATGGTGGTGACGGCTGGATGAGGACTGTTGCTTAGGATCGTGCAGTCCTTGCCGTCAGGTTTGATTTCCTTGCCGCAACCATTCTACTGGCAAGGGGCGTTCGGCGACAAAGCGGCTCCATGCTTGGGGGTGAATTAACCCTGGGATGCTGGGATCGCCCATTTTCTTCACCTGCAGCGAAAGCTTTCTCCATGTTCCTGCGCATCTCCTCTGTCGGGTCTCCAGGAAGGCCCTCCTTGGGCAGCTCCCCGGGCATTGCAGCCACCGTGCAGAGGCAGTCCTTGGAGGCCTGCAGGGGAGCTTGTCAGGTTTGTACCCCACGACCCCAGGTTTCAGCCTCAGGCCAAAGAACACTGCTCAGGCCAAAACCTGTTCCCTCAACGAAGACCAGCATCAGAAAAATGTGACATCAAGCCGCGCAACGAATCTACGGAGTGTCGTGGGATCGTTTTCATGCAGTGTCCCCCAAGGAACAACCTCAAGACTGAACAAAGGGACAAGCGGATGCCAAGCGAGATGGCCTCTTTGAGCCTCTGGTGGAGAGATTGCTGGCCTCCATGCGCCACCCATAGCGTGTGGGTCAGCCGACTCCTTTCACTGGGCTACACTCCATGTATACTGAGTACACTGATTTAGGGTCTATATGGGTTTATCCTTAAGGCATTTCTGTCGACCCGGCTCCTGGATCTGGCTTTTGCACGATTCTGGGTGGGAGGAGGTGGTAGTGGCGAGGGCGTTTTGAAGTTGTACTTCTTGGGAGGCGCGAGAAATAAAGGCTGCAGGCTGGAGGGCAGCGCCTCTACAGCGTTCACGAAAAGATCTCGGAAGATCTCTTTCACCTTTCTTCTCCAGTAACCAAGGACTCAAAAGGGCAATAACTTCATTATTGCGACAACATAAGGTAGCCCGAAAGCTTAAAGCTCATCCATTGGCTAAGCAAGTCACAGGTAGAATCATGAACCAGGGCTTCCCGCTCTTCAGCGCAAAGTCAAGGATGAATGAGAAGTGCTCTTCCACTGAAAACGGCGGATTTGTCACAAGCACATCAAACTTTGGTACTCGCTTCTCATCACATGCCTTGTAGAAGTCTTCGTTCTCGTTATACACGCTCTCAAACCCTAGTCGCGCGAGGCGTTTTTTGACGCTGCCTTGGCAATAGTAGGGGTCATAGATTCGCAAGCCTTTGGATGCAACCCTCCAGTGCTGATCCGGATACGTTGCTGTGGCAATCTCCCGAAGCAGGGGCAGAATGTGCTTGTAAGCAATACCCGGAGTTTCGCAGTGGTCCCCCAAGTCGGCTTCAAAGGCAAAAGGCTCCAGTTCCTTTTTCTTTGGCCGCGCCCACAAGGCCTGTCGATGCAAAGGACCCCCACCACCCCAAGAGCTGGCCACAAACCAGGCACCATGTCCGGCATCCTGGCATTTGGGAAAGACGGGCAATGAGCATGAGGAATGTGAAGATGATGACGCTTGGCCACAAAAGCACTGAAAGAGTTGTCCCGTGTCTCTGGCAGTGCACGCGACACATGCGAGGCTGACCATTCCAATGGTGCTTATTCTGACGCCTCTCAGACCTCTGACAACACCTCGCCGGTCGCGTTTGACACGGGCAGTTTTGAGCTTCAGTTCCTGCTGCACGTTGTGATCCGCAGTCGCGATTGCTAGCTTCCAAAGCTCGCCCTCATGGCGCATACGACTCCGGTGACCAGCAGTGGTCAGAAACACACGTGGCAGACGTGCACGCTCATTGTTGATCCGTCTGAAGCCGATGCTGCGAAGAAATCATGAACAACATCCATGTGCTGCGCTCAGCTATTTCTGCATGTGCTACTGCTACAGGATGTCTGCACACGTGAACCCGAACTAGCTGGGTCACTGCAGCTTGAACAGCGGGTTCCGGGAGTTTCGATGGCGACCGCGGCCTGGGGCCAAGGAGAGATTGCACGTCACCAAGCTCCAAGGCGAGCGAGACACCGGCACCCAAGGCCATCCAACAAGCAACACAATACAAAAACATTGCATTATAACCCCCTCCCCCCCCAAAGCCACGAGTTGGTCATCTGGGCTTTGGTGGTTATGGCTTATCCGAGCATCTGGGGCCCTTTGCCCACCACGGAGCCGCCGCCCGCCACGCCCGGTGCCCAGTCGCTGCCTAGGACACGGAAAAATTCGCTGCCTTCGTTGAGGAATCTGAGAGGCTGCCGATGGTGCCAGTTACAGTAGCCTGACGTTGGGCTCACGATGTCTGTCTGTGGGCGGGCCGGCAGTCTTCCGAGCCCTGTGATCCATGCTACTGTATGCTCCTAATCCCGCTGTTGCGATGGAGAGCTGAGGCCGGATCACACAGGCCAAGAAGACGTAAACGCCGGGTCCTGTGACAGCCCGTCAGAACGGGCCCAACTGCCGCACATTTGTGAAGTCTTCACACGGCCGGGGCTCCGCGCAAGCTGCCCGAACGTCTCCGAGCGGAAGATAATGCAGTCTTCATCCGGGGGTAACCTGCAAGACACGCTTCGGCTTGAAGCCTATGGCAACTATCACACTGGAGACCCTACACCCGCGACAGCACCAGCATGCGCCAAATACCAAGGCCTGCGGTTAACAAAGCCATCCGCTCCCGACTCCTTCTCGAGAGACCTGGGGTGGAGTGAAGGCAACCGGCAACACTCGCATGCTCGAGGTGTTGGGTCCCGCGCAAGCGCGCTGCCGTCTCATCGAATCCCAAATCGCCCAGCTGTAGCCTCAGCCGATCAGCCAGGTTTAATCAGACAGCCGTGTGCTTCATGGTGGCACGCATGCAATGCCGGAAACAACTAGCAAGGAGCCCTCACAAAAGTCGAGTTTTCCTTGTTGGGTTCTTGAAGTGGCTGTCTAGTCATATCCAAAGCCTCTATTCTGCTACCTTTCACGGCCGGATTGTGCTAGCACAAGTGCTCCACGTGCCCATAACTACACCAAACGCCCTGCACTCTCAGCAGGCGCCGCGCTCAACGTTGCCCTCAGAACGAAGGTCCTCCACTGCAACCGCCAATCATGAAAAGCCTCAACGAACAGAGCGTCACGTTCATGCGCCTCCCACTCCACCTCCCCCGCTCGCACAAGGACCTCGTGAGCCATCTTGCAGATACGAGCATCTTGGGGGATTCTTCGGGGAACGAAAGCTTAACGGGAACTGCTGCGAAACGCTGCAGATAGTGGCAGTCTTCTACAAGCCCAGACTAAGGGTTCAGTCCGACTCTGGCTTGCACCTCTCAATGTGTCTCTGAGGCTCCCACGTACCTGTATTCTAGCCTCTCGTCGTCCTTGCATGGCGAATTCAGCAGCACTGGCCTGTCAAGGTGGGACTGTCGCTACTATATGTTTTTTTTTTTCTCTCTCTCTCTCTCTCTCTCTCCACACGCTTAGCCCCCCCCCCGAAGGGAGAGCTGCCCCGGAGGGCGCGCCCGTCCCAGGAGTCATGCGAGACGGCCGCGGTTTTCGCGGCCCGGCTGGGGTGGGGTTTCTGTCACAACATGGGGCGTTACCAGGCAAACAATTGGGCTTAAGGAACTACCAGTGACGGTCCCCCCTCTGTGCCCCCAGCAAACTGTTCTCTCTCTCTCTCTCTCTCTCGCTCTCTCTCGCTCTCGCTCTCTCTCACACACACACACGGCAAGAGGCCGAGGATGAATGAAGGGACACAGAGCGGCTGAGGCGTCCCGTCGCTCATAAACTCAATCAACACTTCAGGTCCAGGATGGTCCAAAACCAGAAAGCAAAGCACATGCAAAGCGCAAGCAAAGCCATGCCGGGCTCGCAGCGGGACCTGCCAAAGCGGAAACAGTGCTGCCTGCAGGGCCCGGCGCTCGACTAAGGTTGCGGGAGAAGGACATAGAAAGACAATGATGTAAGAGAGACCTCAAGTAATTTGCTCTTTTGTTTGGGGGGGGGCGGGGGGTTGGGGGGTTGGGAACCCCCAGGCCGTAGTATGCAGCTGCGCAAGGCTAAGTTCTGGCTTCCAGCAGCCAAGTGCTGCATCTGCACCTGCGATCGCGACATCGGCGCACACATTGGGCTTTCTCTGAGTCAACAACCCTCTGGTCTATCATGTCTTGCTGAGCTCGAGACCCACGACTTTGAGGATGTCCCCCGGCCTGTTACATGGCGATCGCTGCGCATTGGCAAAGGACCAACTGCGAAACCAAACAGCGCCACCTCAAAAACACCCAAATAGCGACTCTGAACCATTGCGATGCGAGGGCCTTGCGGAGCCACAATAGCATTGGAACCAAAGCTCCACCGGCATGGCGTTCTAAAATGTGCTAAGCCGAGTTCGAGGGCCTACTTGGCTGTTACCCTGGACCGCCTTGGACCGTCTTGTGCCCATGTGTGTCTATGATACATTATGATACATATCCCCTGCACTAGCATGGAATGCACACGCGCGTAAGGGCATGTTGCAGGCCTCAAGCAGGTGCAAAATGCCATGCTGTGCTGTTCTGGTCTATCATGAGGTCAAGTGTCGTAGCCGCTTGCGGGCCTTCATGGCAACGGCAAGTGTCCATGCCCAGATTTTGAGTACCTAACCTGCCCTGCAAGACCCATGAGCCCAGTCATTATCCTGCAATGCTGGCCCCACAGGTTAAAAGAATCCAAATCTTCAATGTGTGAAGATCGCGACGTGCTGGCATGCTCAGGAGTGCCCCCTCCGACCATCTGTGGCTGCAAGGGACCGTTCACGCACAAACCATTTGGGGCGCCGAGCCTGAGCTGCCTTGGCCTGGGCCTGCATCTGATTGCTCTGATTGCACGCGGCCACGCGGTTTCATGCAAGTTGTCTTCAGCCGATCGTGAACGCCAGAGGAAGTGTAGACTGAATTGCAATACCATGCCAACTAACCGGCCCTTGTCTCCCACCTTCTCCAGCTGGCTTTTGACGGCCCACTCGGCACCAGCTGCCTCTGGCGAAGCAGTTTTTTGAATGATCATCGAAATCTACTACTGCTAAGTCTTTAAAATCCGACAAGGTTGACGCGCCGTTTGGAGGGGAGTGCGGGAATTTGATATATAACATGGAGAATCCAGTCCGAGAACTTCGAGAGGAGTCTCGACAGCAAAATCGTTTTCCCGAGGTTTCCATGCCAGGACACGCCGAGGCATCTCTGCTTCCACGAGGCCGCATTTCCTTTACTAAAGTGATGTGTGCGGAAACGACAATGCGAGCATTGAAATAGCCTTTCCACGGCTTGGAGTGAATCTTTGCCATGGCAATCTAATCCAGTGGCCCTGGATGAGTTCAGGGAAACTGTAGACATGCGAGCAACGACAGCGGGGTCGACCCCGGCCCCGGCCTTGTGAGCACTGGCACACTTGACACTAAACGAACAGGCAAGGGTCGAAAGACAATGGGGCGGGTATGGCACGACAGCAGGGCGACGACCCCGAACCCAGAGATGCTTGTTTCAGTTTCGGTTGACCATTCTGATGACGATGAGCGACCATCGTAAGAACCGTGAAACAAAAAACAAACCCTCAAACCCCAATAAATTATTTTACTTCGAACATCCCCACCCTCTCTGGGTAGAAATACTCCGGGATTGGGCATTGCAGGAACACTCTGGGGTTGGGCACTCCGGGTTGGGTGCTTCAGAAACACTCGGCACTCCAAGGCGGGTTGGGTGCTCCAGGCACACTTCGGGGGTGGGCACTCCAAGAAAGGGACACTCTGGGGTCGGGCACTCCAGGGACACTTTCGGGTTACGCACTGCAGGGACACTTTGGGATTAGGCTGGCACTCTCTGGGCGAGGAGTAGACCGGGCGAGGAGAAGAGTTGAGTTTAAACTCTAGCAAACTCCACACCGAGAGTGGGGAACAACAGTACCCTCTAAAGCCCTACCATGCTCCTAGTACTGTCCCCAAAACATCTAAAAGCATTCTACACGCCCGTCCTCCCTCCGTTATCTCCGTTGTGCCTCGGCAGCCATGGTCGCCAGCTCCCGCTGGGAGGCCCGAGCTGCGTCGGCTGCGGCCTCGTGAGAAGCTCGGTCAGCAGATTTCAAAGAGAGGGCCCCCAGATAGACACACTTGCGAAAGGGGACGCCTTGCAAAAGAGGAGCCCGAAATCTAGCGGACCACTACAGGTACTTTCATAAATTTCTTCAGAATACGAGTATTTCAGAATTCGGGAGTGCGGGATTGGGGCGATTGTTTGTAACGCTTATATGGGCAGGCTCTAGCTCTCAAGGTCTTCGCGGAGTGATGAACCGAGTCCACGGCTCGGGCGTCCAGATGCCGCTGCGCGTGGCCCTGGGACTCGAAATTTCCAAACACTCACAAAACAAGGAACCCGAACAGGCACGGCTTTTACGGAGGTTGCTGGGCTCGGGGCGGCTTTAGGTGACACATGGTCACGCTGGACACTCGAGCCCACGAACTCCGCAAACATCCTCGAACCCATGTGATGGTCGCTCTGGATTGGGCCTCCACATCCTCGAGACTGCCGATCTCCTTCCTGAGCTCGCCCTGAGGACCGGATAGAATCGAGATCTTGCTTGGTGTGGGACCTTTGGAAATTCCGATGCACAACTACACTCAAGACGTCCCACTGATCTTTTTGATGTTGGACTCAACCCCAAGAACGCTGAAGAAGTACTGAAGACGTCCTCCTCGGCTGTAGATTGGTGATCCAACCTCTGGGCCTCTCTGCGCCTCGGCTGAGCTTTGAACGCCTCTAGGGCTTGACATTGTTAGTTATCCTTGCGAAAAGCCCGCTCAAAACCCCTGTATGGTGCTATGGCTCTTGGGGTTTCAGGCTGGACTGCAGCGCGTGAAGCATCGGATTTCGGCAAGAAGCTGAGGAATATCTGCAATAACACTGCTGCGCATGGCGCCCTGGAGGACATGGCTTGCATTGAACCATCAAGCAACACCGTGTACACCTCAGAGCGACACCTCGAAAGAAGCAGCTGGCCCCGTGCTGTAAGGCAAGAAGATGCATTGCGCATGGTTGCGCAGAGTTGTGCAGAGCCCCTGGGGGGGCCTTGGATCAAGCTGAGACCGACTGAGAGCCCAGGCTGCTCCTCCAACTTGGCGGCTGCGGCCTCTGCGTGTTGCATGCACTCCTCCGGACACCAAGACAACATCTCAGTCGAAAAAAGTGCGCATTCTACTGAGTATGCTTGTATCAAGTTCTGTGGAAAGACTCTGCCTAGATGATTCCACGGTATGGCAGTCCTGCAACCATTTCTTCTCCTCGCGCCATGACCGCTCCTTCCTTGGGTGTCGCCGGTTTCGGGTGGCTCGGCTTGCTGGCGATGGCAGATAGCTCAGATGACAGTCTCAAAACCCATTCAAGGCCCCAGCTCGTCGCGCAGCTTCTTGAAGGAGCGGAAGTGCAGGTTATCCCGGAACTCCTGGAAGGAAATCGAGAGTTCACGGGCACACGTAGCAGTCAACTCGAGCATCCGGAGAGCAGCATTCCTGGCATTCCTAGCATTGGCAAATGCAAAGCTGGAAGCTGATCTCTGGCTGCTTCGCTCCTGTTCGGCCTGGGAGTCATCCCAAGTTGGGGGCTCCGTGTCGCACGTGAGCACCTGAAGTCAGCTCAGATGCTCAGAGGCAAGACATGGCAAGACATGGCAAGACATGGCAAGACAAAATCCGCAGAAAGAGAGGTCTGTGACGATGCAGGGAATGGTGTGGCGGATGCTTAAAATCTGTCCCGAAACTCTGACTTGGACTTCTAGGGCGCGCCTCACGACTGCTGGACGAAACGAGCCCAGCATCGCTTTGCTCCTCCTTAAAGGCAGAGGCAGCGTGGCCCCTGCGATGGCTCTGCCCATGGAAAGTTTGTGCATGGACGGAGCCTCCGTGGTATTGCTGGCCGAGCGCCTCCCATTGCATCTTGAGATTGGCCCCACGATCAAAGAAGCATGCACCGCCCGGAAGTCTCCACTCACCACTCACACTCAGCTGGCCTTGACTTACATTGCGACATTAATCTTGTGACATGCACGCATAATGATAACGGAACTGCCGATATCTTACAGCAATGGCAATTTTCAGCAGGCGCAGACTGGGAGCCTCATCCTGCCCGGCTTGGCAGGGGCCAGCCGAGCCTCCAGGCTTTTCAGCTTCTCCACCTGAAAGTCTGAAAGCTTTCATAGTGCTTTCGATCCCCTTTGCGTGTTCGCGATTCTTGCTCGCATGAGCGGGCTTCGCAAGCTGTTCGACGACTGCACAAAGCCATCATCACAACATCCTTCAATACTGCTGTCTTGTGCCTACCGTAGAGCAACCGGAACAGCCTCGCCGGCGCTCATGACAAGCCTGAGCCCCAAAGCATGCGAAGGCTTCTCAGCGCCGCAGTTGCCGCAGTCCGTACTGGAATGACAGATAGCTGCAGTATGCGACACTGCAAAATCATGTGAAGTCACGGCCCTCAGGGACGGGCTCAGAGTTGAGGGATGATTTCAGTACCTCCAACTCGCGACCTCATGCGAGTTTGATGTTTGCTGCTGTGCGTTGCGTCGTCGCAGGAAAATGGCCCGAGTAAGCATTACATGCAAAACGCATGGTGTTCGGGCGCCGGGCCGACGTCCTCGAGCGCCACAAGCGCTGCCGACGCCTCCGACATGGCGCCGCGCAGCGCCGCGGTGCGGCGCTCGAAACGGTCCGCCTGAATTGGAAAGGGGCCTTGTCGGGGGTCAGGGGTTTCATGGTGGTTCATTAATGTTCATTACTATCATGAGGTATCCAGTTTCAAGGCCCCACCTCCAGGCCCAGTGCGGCGCAGCGCGCTGTCGCATCTGCACGCTGGCTCTCCACATCGAGGAGGCGCGCCTGCCAAAGTTTCTGCGTCATGCAGAACCATGAGTCTCATGGATCTTAGATTTTGAGGCAGCTTCACGAAGACGCCTCAGCAGACTAACCCTAGGTCAGGACTACTGAGCTCAGATCTCCAGAAGCCACTGCCCACAGTTGGCACGCAGCCTGAGTCAGCCTGCACTTTATTATGTTGCCGCTATCACTGCTGGCCTGGCACTGCTGCAGCTTTGCAGGAGCATGGTTGCAGAAGTCGGCTAGCTCTGCCTGCATTCGCGGTGGGCTTCATGGATCTTCAGTACTGGTACAGAAAAAGCGTGTCTTGCAACGGACTCACACTACAGATCACTACAGTACAGCACAACAGCGTGCAACAGCCTTCCCGAGAGTTGCTTTTAGGGTTTCAGATGGTTTCAGGGCATCTTCTGCCTCCTTGGAGCTGAGCTCAGCTGTGTGTCTTTCTGCCTGCAGCCACTCTGCAGAGAGTCTGCGACTTCACCCCACCTTCCCCTTCTTCCACAAGCTTCGTGAAGTCATGACGCCAGCGGCTTCTACTCCAACACAATGTCTCAGGCCTCTTTGACTTTGGAGGCGGAGTTCTGGTTCCAAGCCTGCAGGGGAAACACAGGGAGAGGATTACATTTCCAAGTCGGGTGCTCCGAAATCCCGATAACTCTTTCGCACGAATCTCGACGTCAGCGCCGGCAAGAGCTTATGCCCGCACGTTGGAGGCACAAGAAATGCATGTATGGCCTGCGCTTCCCGCAGCTGCGCGGAGAGCTGCTCCACCTTGCTCTATCCGTCCACTCTTCTGACTTCTGTCCATATCGCTTGAGCACTCAGCCCGAAAGCACCCGTAATCCCTGTGACAGGTGTTGGGTGTGGGGCGGCCGACCATAATGACCCCGAAAGCCGAACGAGGATCCCTTGCGATGGGCCTCGGCCACGCTTTGCCTGTTCAACTCCTGGATGCGACGTTGAACTGACGTTGATTCTGGAGGCCACTGGAGTGGCCAGGAGTGGCTAGGAACGCACTTAGACCCCACCAATCACGGTCGTCTGCACCACCAGACTTGCTGAACTTGACAATTCTAAACCTACACCATTAGCTCATCAAAGAACCATCGCCTCAAAAACGTCGAAGAGTTGAGCACTGTTGAGCTTCAAGTCCGGGAGATTCGGGCCACCCGGGCCTCACAGTGGGCCAGCTCCGAGTGCACCTCGGCGCTCCTCAGACAGCAAAGCCACAGTAAGCAAAAACATGCAAAAACTGCTTCAGAGGGCCCCTCTCATGTGCCCTCAAAAGGCGGGGGGGATCCAACGGGATCCAACGGGAGCCCTGCATCTGCAGTCTACAACTCTTCTCCGACCTCTCCGCGGAGGAGGCAGGCCTGGTGGCGTCCCCGGCCATGCCATGAAGGCTCCGGCTGAGCTCCTCACAAGGTTCCGGCATGTTCCAGCCAGATGGCATCGGGAAAACGTGGGACAAAAGCTGAGGATTTGGGAGCTTCGCTGGGGCTCGAGGGCCCAAGGGTCAAGGTTTGCGTCCTGGACATCCTGGTCAACAATGCCTGGCCAGCAAGTCAGAGCTCAACATGACCGTTTCTGACCGTTTGCGACCGTTTGTGACGGTAAGCCCGCATCGATTTTGAAATTAGCTGATGGGACTTGGGTCTAGTCATGCGCTGCAGAGGGCCCATCGCAGCTCTAATGGGTTAGGATTTGTTCGGATGGGTTTGGCAGTAGATGGCAGGACCTCGGTCAGGGTTGTGAGAAGGTAAACGAGCTTCGGAGGACCGGACCGAGAGTTTCGTGCTCCACGTCGCAAGAGGTACATGCTACAGCTGAGGCTAGCACAGGCATGAAGTCTAGCAGTGTAGCGGCCCCTTTCGCTTTGATGCAAATCAGTCTTTGGAGCCTTTAGCTTGAGAGTCTGTGGGATCCTCGGAGATCGTTGGCTTCTTGGCCTCCTTGGTGGCACACGCCTCCAGCAGGAGGCGCATCATCTCTGTGTCACCACTCTGAGATGCCGACTGCAAAGGAGTCGAATCCTCGCACCAGCTTATGTCCGCAGGATCCTCAGGGCCCTTGTCCGTGTCAGCGCCGGCCTGCACCAGCAAGCGAGCGATCTCCATGTGCCCTTGGAGGGTGGCCGCATGCAGCGGCGTTGTGACATCCTGTCCGTTGTCTCCACCCACCTTGTTCTTGTCAGCCCCTCGCTCCAAGAGCAAGCGTACAATCTCGACGTGGCCTTCACGGCAAGCCACAGTCAGAGGCGTCGAGCGGTCCACGCCAGCCTTGTCCATGTCAGCATCTGCCTCGAGAAGCTGGCGCGTGATCTCTGCATGGCCCCTCGCTGCCGCTGCTTCCAAGGGAGTTCCCATCGAGAACTCCCCGAGACTGTCCTGCTTCTATCTAAACTTTAACTCAAACATTCAAATTTTGCTTGAGAAGACCTAAATTGTATGAATTTGCATCGCATGTCCTCACATACACAGCTCTACTACGCTGCCTAATTACCAGCACATTTCTGGTGAGTGGAGAAGAGATCTAATTGAAGGCCGAGAAGAGCAGAGCAGTCACATGGTGAAGTGGAGTCCTTGTCGGCCCGGGCCTCCAGCAGCAAGCGCACCACGTCGCTGTGACCTCCGTCTGCTGCGTCGAAGAGGGGCGAGGAAGCATAAAAGTCACTGTCAGCTGCGCTCGTCCCGTTGCTGTCAGCGCCAGCTGCTAGCAGCAAGCTGACGATCTCTGCGTGGCCATGGCCGGCTGCCGCCTTTAGAGGCGTGGCCCCGTCATGGATGCTGCCCCGGTCCTTGTCAGCCCGTGCTTTTAGCAACATGTGCACAATGTCAGCGTGCCCGTGCTCCGCTGCCAAGTACAGTGGGGGCTCGCCAACCTTGTAGGCATTGGCCAGGCCGAATGAATTCCGATGGCGCAGCATCTCCCTGACTTCAGGGGTGGAGCCAGCCTCGACAGCTGCGTTAAACTTTGCAATTTGCCTGTCACGGGCAGGGTTGGGCAAGGCAAAAGTGGAGATCCATGGGTATATCCAGGCCAGCACCAACAGCCAAGCCAGCGCCACTGGAACTCGCCGCATCTTGACCAAAGCATGCCAAAATGCGATTTGGCCATGAATGCAACGAGTGGCCCTCGCTTGGGAAGGTCTTGGTCTTGTTTTCGATATGCCCGTGGCGATGCCCATTGCTCTCGCGGCTCAGAAAACGATTGGAGTTGCAGAGTTGTTGTGCAAAACTCGTACGTGCTTGCATGGAAAGAATGGGAAAGTAGGGGCGCTCTGGTTGTGTGTTCTGCGATTCAAATACTTTAACTTCAAAAACTCTAAGCTGGAGGCCGCTCTCAGTGAGTCTCAGGGTTCCGGTGTCAGAACGGACATCTTCTTTCAAGCCCCGAGAAGTCCGAATCCGCAACTCTAACGGCCGAAACCAAGCCCCACACTACCATGATTCGCCCTCAATGGCACCGCATCTGGCGGAATCAAGCCAGGAAGGCCGTGCTTTACACGTCGCTGGTCGAGGCTGGCCCCAAGGGCCTGGCAGTCGCTGTGTCTAGCATGCACAGCATCCAGAAGTAGCGATCAGTAGTAGTGTCGTCCATCCGCTCGTGATTGAATATCACTCAAAGAAAGTCGTGAAACACGGTTACTCAACCGTCGGACTGCAGATCTGCCGTGTCTCCTGCGTACGGAATGTGCAGGTGTGGTGCAGCCCTCTCTTGCGCTTCCCGGTCCTCCAGGCCGTTGTTCAGGCTGCTCATCTGGCGCAGACGGTTTTGCGGTTCAGGTTTGTCGGATCGTCGGACTCGTCAGCTTTGGAGCTTCGAGATGCTTGACGGGGCCCTTTGCCCTGAAAAGATCCAGTGACTCCCTGAACCTATGAATCCCTGAACAGACCCATGGGTCAGCTCTCTCTCTCGCCCTCCCTCTCTCTCTCGAATACCGAGCACCCTACACATATGCGGGGGCGGCTGTGCTGGAATTCAGAGGGCGAGTCTCCGATATACATTCAGATACTGATGATGATGGCCTGCTATGCGTGCCTTGTATTAAAAAACAAGTTTTAACGTACATCAAGAAAATTAGGGTCAGCAGCTTGTCACCGTTCACTGAGAGGTGGAGCCCCACCTTGAGGCCCAGGAAGTGGCGACTCTCTGCAAGAGTCCCAACCTTCTCACAGAAGTCCTGTCAACTCCAGTGTGCGTTCTTCTAAGCCGAGATTTTTCACCGGGGCTGAGGATGCTCTTTCGGTACAGGAACGTGTGGTAGGAGCATGTCGCATGCCGCTTCAAAATCCCAGCGAGTTGTGGAGTCCAGGGTTGAAAGCTCCCCAGGAGACACTGTGAGGCAGCTCTCCCAAGTCCTGCAAAGTCTGCTGGTTGACGCAAGGCTCCTGCAGCATCGCATTGCAAGAAGACGCAAGAACCCAACGGTTGCCATAATTTGCACTGCAGGAAGCGCATGAACCACTCAGTGGCCATGGCGCTCCTCAGCCAAGCGGCCAGCAGCAATGTGAGCAGTCTGCGCTTTGCCTTGAAGGGCGAAAAGCTGCTGTCGGCCAATTGAATCATGCATGAATTGCATGACCTCCAGCTTCTAACCCCATCAAGAAGCATCGTGAACAAGCGCTCAAGGTGCCGACAATGCTCCCGCGTCTGTGAGACACGGTGGCTGGCACCTTCCTGTGCACGTTGGAAAAACAACGCCGACGCTTGCCGTACAGTTTCGGTTTTGTTGGCTACGAGCAGTGCATACTCTTTGTCCATGTTCGCTCCCATTCTGCCTGGGAAGCTTCAGAGTGCCGCATCAGCACCTTCGAGGCAGGCGGAAGTCATAGGCAAGGTGATGTGTTTCCTACATGCCGATGCGTGCTGAGTTCACGATGCTTGCACTTCAGCTGCAAACTCACACAGAAAACAACTACATAGCGGTCCAACTGCAAGTGATCACACATTCCACCCAAAATTCAACCAATCCCTTAGAAACAAGCGCTGGTTGGGGGGTCGTGAACTTATTTATGGTCCATGCTTTCGCCACTTTAGCTGTCCATTTCGTATTTAGCAAGGCATGCCTCAAGAATGTGGGCGCGCGGGCCTCAGCAATCAGATGCAAACAGGCTTGGTAGGCTGGAAATCCTTTTCTTTGGCATCATGCTTCTGGAGGCCCAGTCTACGCGAGCTGCGCAGCTCCGAACTGTGCCTATGCCCATTTTGCCCTCCGTGGCTCCGGCCAAAAGCCTCCAACTGCGGGGGCTCGCGGCTCGACTGTAACAAGGCAAACAGGGCTCGAAGATCTCGAGTTTCCAACTTTCCCGGGATGCAGAATCAGATAGTGCTAATGATAAGCTTTGCTCGGCCTCCTGACTCACTTGGCCCAGGCGTAGGAGGATCCGAGACGCACGAACGCGGACCTGCAAACAGAGCACGCACCCAATAACCTCCAGCAGCCCAGCTGTTTGAACCAACCACGAGCGTAAACAGACTGAAGCTCCAAATTTGGAACAACGTTCTGTCTTGCCGATACGCAAAAGCCATCGAGAACCCTGCGATTGACCTTGGGAGGGAGCTGTTGCTACCGCCATAGTACTGTAGTAAGGCCAATACTCGTGACCCCTGAACACTCGCCGAACTCCGCAAGCCCCTCACATGATGGATCATTGGATGTCACGGGCCTCCTCGCGGGTGACCTGCTGTGGCGGTGGCTCGCCTGCGGCTGCGCCACCAGCGCCCCCTTCGACCATCTGCCCATCTTCGTCACCCTGGGCGCCATGAACTCGCAAGCGTGTCAGCAAGTCAGATCTTCAATTATCTGTGACGGCCTCTGTCAGCTTCTGAAGTTGTGGCACGAGAGGGAGCAAGTCGCGGAGTTTCGCGGACTCCTCCCGCTCGTCGCTAGAATCAAGTGTCTGGGCGTGCGCTGATTACAAATCACACGCAAATGTGGTGACTCCTTCTCTGTGCTCTGCTGTACAAAATGGTCGAGGATGGCGACCATGCAGGCGGTGGCCTCAGTGGAGCTTGTCGTTAAGGTCATAACGTGCCGCTATGGCTCGCTCGAGTATGGTCATCTTGCGAGCTCGTCGGCTCGGCAATTGGGCTCCACACTGTGTCCACGCCACCATAGTCATCCTCAGAGTGCCCATCTACTTGGGCAACTACCTGCCACTAGGACTACCAATGGCAGGCACCTCTGCTTGGCAGGCTCCCAGCAGCATCTGCATGCGTGGCAGCTCCTGGTCTTGCATGATGAGAGATTGGGATGGCGTGGGAGGTCTTTTGTGAAAGTTGTTTTGGAAGATTGCAGAATCTCTGCTGCATGACTTCGACCCCTCATTACTTCTGCAGGCATCCCTGCATGCCACGCTCACATAACACACGGAACTGTGAGTGCACATGCCGCAGTTGAGCACAAGCTGATTTACCGTCTGTTGAGGGTGGAGAATGGCTGAAGGTCGCGGCAGCCTTGCCGCAGCAGATCTCGTACAGCAGTTTCACAAGAGCTGGATCCTCAGTGGTCTGCTGCATGTCTGAGTCTGGGGTCTTGATTGGATTCGGGGGGCCTTCTATGCATGTCTGATGTGCCTCTGTGCCGAGCTCGGCTTCAGGTCAGTATACAAGAACCCTAAACCCTAAACCCTAAACCCTAAACCCTAAACCCTAACCCTGCACAACTGCCCCTCTCTCGCTGAGCCCTGCACACGTTGAACCGGAACCTGCTGCTTCGAAGCTGAGGATTCCTGCAGGTCGGTTCTGGAGCTTCCCGACAAGACCATGGGGTTCCCTGAATTTGTCACCAATGTTGTAATGCTATATTTAGAGAGCTGCATCACATGGAAGATCATGGTTCCCCCTCCCAAACTAAGCTCTGAGAGGGCAAACGCAACGCGATCACTTGGGCCTCGCTCTTCTCCGTCTCGGGCTTGGACTTGTTGCCACCTCAGAACGCAGACTACATGTGACTACATGAACTTATTCCTTTGACCATGAATCAGGCCATTGTCCATCAGGTCAGGTCACTAACTGATGAGGTGCGCATCAAGCAACCGATCGTCGTAAATCTGACTTGGGAAATAGTGGAAAGGGCCTTCACTCAAGAAAACTAACCAACGACAACCTCACCAGCACGGAGCAAGAAAAAGCAGAGACGAAATACTAGATGCCCCACAAGCTCCAGTTCCCCCGAACATTCAATGGACGTGGACCTCCAAAAAAGGCGAGTGCTGGGCCCTCGACGCAGGAAACGGGATTCAAAGGACGTCTGGGACGCTGTCTCCTCAGCGGATTTTCTGGTGAAGACCAAGGGACCAAGCGTCTCGACAAAAAACTTCCAAAAAACATCTTGCATTGTGGGAGACAGGTGTAGACTAAGGGCACATTGGTTCGACAGGGTACACATTCTTGCCCTCAAATCACTGGGGTTGGCACCGAGTCCTTGCGCAGCGGCTCCTCCGATGCCTGCACATTTTGACGCAATGTTGCCCATGCCATGTCCAGCCACGAATGTCAACGCTCATCCTGCATTTCCTCTCTCCTGGGCCACTGTTCCTATTCCTTGATATTGTTGGACTTCTTGGCTTTTTGCTTTGACACCTGCTCGCTGGAAGCATTCAAAACAATATTTCACATAGGCTATGCTTTGCACAAACTAAGCTGAAGAGCCCTGAAGAGGCTGTTGACGGCGGTAAAGGCTTGGATGATCTTGGATGGCTATAAGGTTGAGGGCCCTGCCTTACAGGCCGACAGGTAAAACCCTGAAGCCCATCCGAGGGCGCTGCAGACAGAGGCAGAGTTTGCTGGCTCGGCTTGGCCGAGTTCAGAGAGCCTGAGCCTCAGAGTATCTCAGAGGGCTCATGGAAGTGAACTGCTTGGAGGACAGTGGCTTGCACCGGCTCTCCGCACGCTACACTGACTCTGCACCCTTACTTCAACTGGAGAACTGCAATGAACTGCTTACAGGTGAGAGCGCCTGCTTGTAAAGCATCTCTGGCCGCAGCAGCAAGGGCTGCTTCCTGTACTCCGGGCTCTTCAGAAGTTTCACATCATGTTACCGAGTGGATTTCCGTCCTCCGCGGCATCCAACTGCGATGGGAGCACCGCCAGCGCCTGCAAGGCAAGCGGAGATGCTCTGACGAAGAGCTCCAAAAGAACTCAAAGACTCCACGTAAGTTGCATGACAAGCCAAGTCGTCAGGATCCCGGAAGGTTCCGAATTTTGGAAGTAAAGCCCTCAGCTGCGCCCGAAGACAATGATCCCGAGTGTTGGCGTCCAGCGCGCCCTCATGGCCTCATGCTCTCTGACGCTCACGTTTTCGACTTTGTCAGAATTCAGGCTCCGTGTGCTTGTGTCCATTTGTCTGGTCCTGGGGCTGTCTGTGACCTGACATCGTTGTCAAAAACCCAGCTCCTGCATCGGAGTTTCGCAACCGTCAACTTCTATCACTATTTTGGTTGCACAGGACCGTGCGCCATGACTTCATGTTGCTTGTGCATGCAATTCAGAGTGCCTGGCAGCCACTCACTGATGCTGACTTCCACTTTAAGGGCCCTGCACATACTATGATGGTAGCTGCAATGCAGCACAAGACTCCACAATCTGTCGTTCCAAGCGCCCGGCGCACGATCGCACCAATGCACAAGGAAGCAAGGATCTGGGCCACGGGATGCGGCGGTGCAACTTCACTCTAGTGTTCGCTGCATGCGCACAGCCGGGTCGACAGGCAGTTGCACAATCATGACTCTTTGACACTTTCAACAGCGTAAGAGCGCACACGCACCATGTCAGCAGGAAAAATGTCGATATATACAGAGAGCTAGTCCCTGCTGAGTTGACAATATCCGCAAAAACGAGGCCATAAGTGGTCCTCTGTACTCATATGTACTCAGAGCCCAACGCCTGCCAGTGTGTTCTTGACAAACGTCGTCTTTCGCTCCTCAATCTTGCCCTCAGCCTCCTTGATCTGCTTGTTCATGGAATCCTGGACCTTCGCCCTGAAATCCGCGGCCTTCTTCTCACGCTCGGCGGCCTTGGCGCTCATCTGGGCTTCGATCGCTGCCTCGGTCTTCTCACGGGCGTCCGCCAACTCCTTGGCCGCCTTTTCACGGGCCTCCTTGATCTCAGCAGTGTACTGCACCTGCATCTCGTCCGCCTCGGCCAGCATGTCAGTGGCTTCAGAGAGCGTCTGTAGGAGCTTGGCGTTGCGCTCCTCAATCTCCTCACCCACAGGTGCGTAGAACAGGGCGTTGAGGACGGCCATCAGGAGCAGAAAGCTGCCGGCGACGAAGGGAAGCGTCAGCCCGAAGTCAAACATGCCGCCAGCATGAGCAGGAGCAGGAAGGGACGCCACCAAACCCGCGCTGCCAGCCAGGAGCATCTGGTCCCTGGCCGGAGGCGTGCTCTGCGATGGAGGCATGACGAAGGCAGGAAGGCAGCAGGCGGCCACCAGCAGCAGCACGGCCAAACCGGAAGAGCGACGCTTTGTGACGAACATGGCGGGGATGAGAGATGTTGCTACGACCCTCTAAGAAACCATGCGCCAATGGTCCATGTGCCTGCATGACCCCATACAAGTCTCTGCTGCAAGCCAGGCAGTGCACGTCAGACAGCTTCGCCACACAAGCAACCGCCGAACACAAAGTCACATCCATGATCTTCATGATCTCCCTAGCTGCCATAGCTGTCTCTGGATATCTCTGGATCATAGGGACTCTGAGCACTGGGGCTCCCGGCCCTCGCCCCCAGGTCTGCTGATAGCAGCAATTTCCCAAGCAGCGCCAGGCCGCGTGCAGAGTCTGCACAACGGGGGCCACACGCAAAGATACGCAAAGGGCGCTGGGAGGGATCATTGCCATGGCTAGTTTGGGGAACGTGTGAGTACGTACATGATTCCATATGCATTGTAGCACCAACACACCCCGGCTGTGTAGAGAGAGGCTATGAGAGGCTGGCCTCCTTGCACCCGAGCCAGGGCCGTGATTACCTCAAGGACCCATGGGGTTCTGCGGGGGAGAATGGCCAGGCCCCAGTGGCCTTCTCAGCTTCTCAGGTCCATTTGCATCTCTTGCATCTGGTGTTGTGGAGTCATTACCACAAGGAGATGCCTGCCGGCCACTGGGGCGGTGGCTCCGCTGCAGCGCAGCCCGTGCCAGAGCAGCCACGCGCAAACCGCGTGGAGCGAGGTGGACTGCACCAGTGATCTTGCGGAATTATTAATCCTACAGAGGGCTCACAAATCGAGGCAGAAGATTCTAGATTCCTGAAGTTAACGAAGCAGGATGGGGTGGGTTCAGCTTGCCCAGAGGCCTCCGCAGTAGTGAGACGCTTGAGGGCGTCAAGGGCCCCATCCTCGACCAGAGCAGGACGCCAGGAGCAACGGGTTACGCATGTGGACGGTTTTGGACTACATTGACTACAAAAATCGTGGAGTGAACAACTTGAGTCAACCTCAGCAAAGCAGCAAAAGCATGCAGTGGGTTGTTTAGAGTTTGGACACACCCGAAGAAACGCTGCATAGAACACTCTCCTGCTGGCAAAAGTAGAGGAGAGCTTCTCCCTGGCTCTCCTGAGATCAGGTTTGCAATCGAGGCCTCTCTGGGCCATCTAAGCCAATCTAGGCCATGAGAATGTGAGAAGCCATTCTAATCAAGCTGGAGAGTACTACAAAACGCGGGGTCTCCACAGCCAACTGATGCCAACTGTGTGCTGGCATGTGATCGACCTTTTGTCACCCCACGAGTTCAAGTGGGCAATCGTGGGCATGTGCAGACTGCTTGAAGGCTCCTGAATCAGCCTTTTCAGGCAGTCCGTGGCCGCAAAACCTGAGTCAAGGGGCTGCGGTATGAGCCTTTGGCATTTGGCAAAAACCTGAAGAGCTTCACTCTGCCGATTTTTTGGCCTTCAGGGAGTATCTGGCACTCATGAACAGTGCGCAGCATGTCAGCCAAATTGAGTCTTTAAGCGAAATCCTGTCACGGCATGCTTGTACCAGTATGAGTAACAGCTGCTGAGCAGCTACTGCATGTGGCATATGCAGTAAAAAGATGCGCGGCACTCGTTCAGCCCTGGAGTGCCGAAACCAACGAGGGCCACTTCCAGCACCGTGGCATCATCGTAAGAGCGTGGCAGCCGTTTCGGTGGTGTTCACTGACCGCGGCTCCAGCAGCCACCTGTAACGCTGTCGTTTTGCCTGGATTGTCCATCTACAATGCCGCTGCCTGCACAAACGCAAGGCCTGATCCTCTGTTGCGCGCCCAAGCAGCGCCAACAAAGCTCCGAACCTCATTCGTTCTTTCAGGGGCTTAGGGCATGTGGGCTCGCTCGCACTCATTCATTCATTCTTTCTTCCATTATTTCTTTCTTGGCTTTCTTTGCTTCGCGTTCAGTGTTCTCTCCTCCGTCCAGCCTCTGCTTTGAATGACTTCTTTCTACGAGTAACGCCACGGGCTTGAGGAAGTGGCGGACCCGGCTCGGGGTCTGCTGCACGCAAAGCTCAAACGAGGCACTCGGTCGACAACGTGTTGTTACGTCCCGCTCCTCCTCCTCCTCCTCCTCCTCCTCCTCCTCCTCCTCCTCCTCCTCCCTCCTCCTCCTCCTCCTCCTCCTCCTCCTCCTCCTCCTCCTCCTCCTCCTCCTCCTCTTCCGGTTCGTCTTCTTATGTTTCTTCTTCCTCTCCCTCTTCTTCTGATGCACCCAGAAGGAGAGCCGGAGAGTAGCGAGAGGACTGCAAAAGACCGGCCGGCCAAAAACCCTCTGCTTCTCTCCTTCGCCGATATCCTTCCTTCTCTCGTTCTTTTATTCTTTCTCGCCCAATGTCTTTGTCGATGGAGTATCGAGATCTTGCCAGAGCTCGGTGCATTGCAGTGTCTCAGACTGGGGGCCACGCAGACCCGACTTGACGACATTCTGCCGAGCGGCGTCGTAAGAAATGAGTTTCATCCTCATGTGGCAGAGAATATTGCAACCCTGCCCCAACTCGACCCGGCAGTTCTCAAACTTTCCTGGGCTTCGCACAAAATGGCACAAAGGCGCAGCCGGTTGGTAAGGCGCACCTGTGATCGAAGGTCTTGGCGTTGCAGACTGGACTTGTCTGCTTTGCATGTACGTGAGCCATGCCACCCCACAAGACTGGCCTGCAGTGTTTGCTGTGCCTGCTGTGAGGGCGGCGCCGTGGCCGCCGCCTTCAGATCAGCAGGGCTGCCGGAAGATCGGATAACCAGCTTCGGGTTTGGGACCTTTTACAGGTTGTTTGCACATGGAAGCCTCTTCCCCTCCCCCTTCCCCTTCCCCGCATGCGTGTAACCCCGGTTCAGCCTCGGCTGCCTCTGCCAAGGCAAAATTCGTCAACTCCTGCCACGGCAAAGGCACACATCGACAAGCGTACGGCAAACATTCATCGGGTGTCTCAGCATTCATGAACGCTCCCGAAATCCGAATCGATGTCGATTGACGGTCAGAACTTAATGGCGCGATTTCTTGCGTTGCAGTCACCGAAGATGTACATGACGTGAAACAATAAAGTTGTTCATCCAATGTTCACGGAGGAAACTCCTCCGTCCCATACCTGCTCGCTAGGCCCTTTTGCACAGGATTTAGCGAACCTTGTAAGGAGCGAGAAGAAGAAAGACCCCCACAATCATGAACCCCTTCTACAAGACCTTTCTCAGCCTGAATACCACAAATGGGAGGACCTTGACTGCATGCGAATTTTGAAGCTTGTTAGGCCCGCGCCTCGAGCACCGAGGGGTCGCAAAGGCGGAAGGTCTCGCCCTGCTTGATGACGACAAGTGCTGCTTGTGCCGTTGCTATCACAGGTACGATGGTGGTGACATGTCAGGACCATTGTCCTGATGTTCTCTAACCTCAAAGCCCCTAGAGAATGGTGCATGTCAAGCTTCTCGGCCGTTGCACGATGTTCGGATGTAGAAGGGATGCCCTAACTTTGCAGTTCAGGATCGGAACGCATTCCACACAACTGGCCGGGGACTTGAGAATTGAACATCACGATCTAACCGGGTACGCTTATAAGCACTGCCAACCCTTAGGGTTGGCATGGGTCCCGTGATTCCAAGAGCGTTCGGCCTCTTTGTCCGCCACGACTCTCTTCAGGGCCTAGGAAGCTGGAGAAAGCCCCGATGCTTGCACTGCTTTTGAAGCGCAAAAGGAGTTGAAGGAAGGCTGTATCTTGGGTCTAGTCTTTTCTGAATAGCTGGCTCCATGGGGAAAGTGCTGCTTGTCGGGCTGGGCGAAACATGCGAAACATCTTAATGTTTGCCAAGTAGCAGAGAGGCACTTGTCTGCGGCAGCATGAGTTGCTTGTCGACAGAGAAATCTGCAAGCGTAGGGTATGTGCTCATGCGCAGCGTAGTGCAAGCACAGCAGATCTCCGGCCAGATGCCGTAGAACGCAGGCCCATGCAAGTCTTACCATCCTGATTGTCCGAATTCTCGAAACCACAACCGAACCCACCTTGGCACCACTGCCGTTGCTTCGTCTGCGTCAAGAAAGGCCCAGATCATGCCATCCTGCGTCAGATTAGGTCAGCCACATATAATATGGCTTGGAGCACGAAGCACCATCTTCAGTCCTGGATCACGGCCGGGAGCATCAGCAAGGCTCTCAGGTAGTCCTCTCAGTTCACATAATCATTGGGTGGTGATGCGTAGATGAATCACCTTATGATGCCTTGCAGGGCCACGCATCATCTTGTGTGAAGCTAACGTTTGATGTGCGTGCGGAATGCGTGGCGTGAGCCAGCGCAAAGAGCGCGAGCTGGCCGTGTTCCCCCACACCACTCCTGCCTTTCGCCGCAAATGGGTCTTCCTCTTTCCGGCACGCGCCAGCGATCTCCGCAAAACAGGTGTGTCGAGCGCTTGCCGCCGGAACGAGCGGTTTCAGCAAACAGTACATATACAACATTGAAAGCACATTTGAACGCCAAAGAACAGCAAGAAGGACAAAGAGCTTCAAGCTTCGCTTGCATCCTGTTGCCCTATGGACAAAGAGTTCTACGTCGTGATCCAAGATTCCTCAAGCATCTGCCGCCGGCGGTCCACAAATGCCTGTTCGCGACGTGCAAGCCGATTTCGCCGGCCGGTAATTACAACATCTTGAGGTTGCTAGGGTGCTTTTCAGAACACAATGACAATAGCACAAAATATAGATTCACCTGCCTTCGACACAGGAATTGTTCTATAATGTCACGACAAGCAATGCTACGACTGTCCAAGCTGGATTTCTGCCTGCTCTCGGTTCCCGAAGAGCTTTTTCGGAGGCAGCTCAGGCCTCGCATCAGAATAGAAGAGTTTTAGCCGTTCGGGTTTCGATCGTGTAGTTCACGGCACAGCCGACTACAGTACACTGAGTGCCCTGGCAGCGCGCACGCCAGCTCTCTACGGCGGAGCTCTGCATGGAGCCATGCGAACATGGTGTACCTTCAGCACAGCCATTTCTGAAGAGCCCCTCCCCATCCCGGTGTGAGGACATGTTCCGTGG